GCGATTCAGACTTCAGTTTGTCTTTCTCGAGGGGCCTATCTACCCATCGCAGGCGTGTCCTCAGCTATCTGCGAATGCGTATGCATCACTCTCCAAGTTTTAGAAGTACGGTTGACCCTTGAACAATGCGGGGTTAAGTATGCTGACCTGCATGCAGTTGAAAATTCACGTGTAACCTTTTTGTAAGTTGCCAGAGGGGAACAAAGGGTGTGTGCGCCGATGAGAGAGAGAGTGAAAAAACGCCTCCTGGGGGGCTGTTCTGCCACGGTCTCTTCTCCTCCTTTTTTCCCTCTTTCTGGGATTTTGGCATGCATACATATACACCCGGTATAATTTTTTTTCTTTTTTAGAGAGAAATTTTTGCCATAGGGTGTGTGCAGTTGCCAGAGAGACAGAGAGAGAAAGTGAGAAATCACCCCCCTCACACAGGGGGATGGCCATGCCGCAATCCCTTCTCCATTCTCCTCTTGGGATTTTGTACACACACATACATGTACTCGGTATGAGTTTAAGCCACCGGGTCTGGGGTTTGAACCACTGTCAACTATGTGAGAGTCCAGCAACAAAATCATTACACCATCTGCTGGTCCCACACCCAGTATAATTTTCAAGCCACCAGGTCCAGGACTCAAACCCCTATATTCAGCCATGTGGGATCCAGATGCCTTAGCCACCACACCCTGCTTATAAGTTTTGATCCCCGAACTTAACTACTGTTAAGTAGTTGCCTGCTGTTGACTGGAAGCCTTACCGATAACAGTCTATTAATACATATTTTGTATGTTTATATATATACATATATATATATATAAACTAGAGAAAAGAGAATGTTATTAAGAAAATTATAAGGAGAAACACATTTACAGTACTGTACTGCATCTTCCCATGTATTTATTTTTAAAAATCTGCAAGGGGACCAGCAGATGACATAATGATTATGTCACTGGACTCCCACATAGTCGGCTGCAATTTGAGTCTCGGACTCAACAGCTTAAAACTCACACCAGGCGCGTGTGCGTGCGTGCCCATGATCCTGAGAGGAGAATGGAGGAGAAGGGATTGCGGTGTGGCCATCCCCCCTGGGGGGTGAGTTCTCCCTTCCTGTCTCTCTTCATCTCTCTGTGCATGTGCCTTATATCAAAAATACATCTGGAAATAAAAAGTCTGCCGGGGTTTATTTGCTGATTCAGCTGTAATAACTTGTTGAAGTGAAGCCAGGTCCTACATGGCGACCGTGGTTCGAGTCCCTGACCCAGTCAGCCTGACACACGCCAGTGCCGTGCGTGAGCCCGTACGATCCGATGGGTTGGCACACTGAGGGAAGGGGGTCGTAGCATGAGCGAGCCCCGCGGGGGGGGGCCTCTGCCTCTTCCTCCCACACACGCGTGCGCATGCTCTGTCACGCGTAAAGAAAAGCCCGCCGGTGGCGGGCCAGCCGGGCCAGCCGCTCAGGGCTCAGCTGTAGACGCGGGTGCTCTCCGTTCACCTTGGTGCTTCCCTTTGCACTCTCTCGCCTAGATTGACGACATGTTTAACGAAATCAAGTTCAGCGAGTATGTGGACACCGGGAATCTGATCGACAAGATCAACCTGGCAGACTTCCTCAAAGTGTACGTCAATCACCGGCCGCCCTTCGGTAACACCATGAAAGGCATCTACCGGAGCTTCGACGTCCTGGGGTTCACCAACTCCAAAGGAGAAAAGGCCATCCGAAGAGAGGACTTCCTGAGGCTGCTCCTCACCAAAGGTAAACGCAGGCACAGGGGCGCAGCCACGCGGACCGAGCAGAGCTCAGGAGGCAGTGGCTGGGATCTTTCTCGGGGCCACTCGGGGCCAGATCCCATATGGCCGGTCTTGGTTGAATCCTGGCCCTGGCAGCTTGAAAGCCACAGCAGACGTGCGGGTGCACGCGCTCCAAGTTCTGGCAGGGCGGGGACATGGAGGACAGGGGCTGGCGTGACCCCAGCCATCAGGGGCACTTTCTCCTCGCCTCTCCCCCATCTCTGTCTACGTGTGTCCTCTGGCAATTAGCAATGCCAGTTAGGGACCAGCAGGGTGGTGTAAGGGTCATGTCGCTGAACGATCGGGGTTTGAGTCCCAGATGTGGTGGATTCAAACTCACATTGGGCACCTATGCGTGCGTGCCCGAGATCCAGAGAGGAGAATGGAGGAGAAGGGATTGCGGCGCGGCCATGGGCCCTGGGGGGCGGAGGTGATTTCTCGCTTTCTGTCTCTGTCTCTCTGTGGGTGCACACACCCTCCAGCAAAAAATCTTAAAAAAATAAAGAACAGCAGCTTATTGACCTCAGGGGCTGTTGTAAGGTTGGGATGCATTTGTGAAATAAAACCCCCTAAGTAAGCTTCTCAGTTTTTACACACAGTTTTCCTCCTGTTTTCTGTGAGGAAGTTAAGTAGGCATACCCTCTGGGTGGCATTTCGTCTCAGTCAAACCGGGTGGTTCTGAGATGAGGGAATTTGCCTTCCTTCTCTCCACAAGGCCCAGCCTTTCTTCTCTGACTACAGTAACATTTTAAATGTCAGTATCACAGCTTAGCACGTGTGCATGCATTGGAGACAGAGTGTGCACACAGAGTGCCCGAGGGACTCGGCCGCTCCAGCCTGCCCCTGCCGGGATCCTGGGGCCTACGCATGCAGCCTGCGTGTTCTCAGGCCCACCAGGCCAGGGACTTGAACCGCGGTTAGCATGTGGCTTCCAGCTTCACAGTCCAGCCGCGGAGGCTGGGCCTGCAGTCCCACTTCTGACCCCACATAGTGATATTATGTGTCTGGGACAGTACCGTGGAACCCTCTAGAGTGTATTCGTGTCTAAAGAGAAGAATAGGGCCAGCAGGTGACGTGGGCGTTAAGGCACTGGGTCCCACATGGCCAGCTACGCAGCTGGAGTCCTGGAGCCGGTGACCCGAAAAACCACACCGGGCACGTGTGCGTGCCCAGAATCCTGAGAGGAGAAGGGAAGGGGAGAGGTTACAGCGTGGCCATCTCCTCCTACGGGGAGAGCTCTCACTTCCCCTCTCCTTCTAGTGAGTACATGCACCCTATAGCAACACATTTTTAAAAATTTAATTTAGAAAATAAAAACTGAAATACTAGTAAGAGAGGAGAAGAAGCAGTAGACCCACTCTCCCGAAGCTCTGAAGCTCCACTCAGCCCCGAAGCTCCGCTCAGCCCCGCGAGCTGAACCCCCTCCTCCGTTTGCTCTTGACGTGCAGGTGAGCTCATGACCGAGGAGGAGATGACCGACTGCTTCGCCACGCTGTTCGGCCTGAACCCCGAGGGCTGGAAGTCCGAGCCTACCACCGCCTCTGTCAAAGGTACTGGGCTGGCTTTGCCCTGCCGTCGCCTGCTCCCTAGTGTGCTGTGGACCTCAGTGCACTTACTACTGCTACTACTGCTACTACTACTACTTCTACTACTTCTACTACTACTACTACTTCTACTACTCCTACTACTGCTTCTACTTCTACTACTACTACTACTACT